GCAACGTTAAATAGACTTTCCAAAATTGACCTTGAAGGGGAGGGGGAACTGGAAAAGAGCCATTTTAGTTTAGAACATCAAAAATTATTTCAAATGAACTTTTGTAAAATTAGTTTTTGAAAAATCAAAGTTAGAAACTGGAAAAGCGCCGATTTTAGTTAGTAGACTATCCCGGATTAGCAAAACTAAGTTTGCATTCGATTATCGCAAGCAAAATATACAGTTGTGAGTTAGATTATTTTAAGAACACAAACAACGAATTTTATTAACAATCCAATCGATTTTTATCGATTGTATGATATACTTGAATTAATCGATCTGATAATTACCGAAAGCAATTTTTTGGCGTCCATTTTGAAATACTAAATCTACAGATAAACAACAGCTTTTATAAATATTGAATATTTCACATTATATAGAGATATTATACGTACTAAAAACAGATTATATACAGATAGTCTTGAGATAATTTGCAGATTACATACATATTGTTTACAGATTATAAGCAGATCACATACATCCTATTTACAGATTATATACAGGTTATATACAGATCATAGTCAGAAATGGTACAGCCTTATTAAATTTTATATACAAATTTTTTTACTAATTTTTTTAAGCTTTTCACATATCGAACAATATGAGTGTATTCTTTTCAATTCAACTTTAGTGCTGATAAGAATAGAAAAGACCTGAGAAGAAACTATTGAATCAGTAGCTAACGAAAATTTTGCGAGAAAATTATTGTTATTCTATGATTTTTTAATCTATTTCTAGTTTTTTTTAAATGACAACACGCTAAATAGGTTGATCTTAGAAATGGTTTTTGAAAAAATTTTATTTTAAATTTTTTCATTCACCGAAGCAGCCATTAAGCTACAAAACTTTGAGGAATCTGATGAAATTTATGGTTTGCACTAAGGAAATCTTCCCAAGTGGTTTTCTTACTCAGACACTCAGAGAGATTTTCCATGTGTACCAATTTTTGGTGGGTTCTGTGTCAAAAACTACCAATAAACTTTTAAGGCTGAGTTTTTTTTGAGACTTCAAAAAACATGTAATTAAAGCCAAAAAATCTAGTTTTTAGACAATATAATCCAGTTTTTAATCAAACTGATCGATTTGATGCATATACTGGGAGATTTCATATATATTATAAACATATTCTCTGCTTTATACATTATTGTTTTTTATATTTTCACCCAATTTATCAATTTTAATTTTGAAAAACAATTTGAACAATGCCCGCTCTTTTCTACTCCCTTCTTTCAGTTTTCCTTGAAATTGCATTAGTTAATTTTTTTGAAATGACTTTCGATGCTCTAAACTGCTAAAAAACGAATAACTGAAAAAATTGTAACAATTGTTCTTATATGCGAAATGCCGTATTAAAAAATGGATTTTTTTTTCCTTCTTGCCCTCACCTCAATTGAGCATTATTTTTTTGGTGTAATGGAGAGTTAACAAGGTTGAGTATGACATTCGAATATGTTTTTCATGGCCTATTTTTTGGTCATGAAAATTGTTGTATTAACCGGGCATTTTTGAACAAAAAATTGGTAGTAAAAAGCTGCAGGTGGGGGAGGACAAAAAGTCGAATAAATGATGAGCAAGTTTAAGTTGTAATTTATGAGGGGGTAGCGAGCTACGTTTCCATAAAGCAATGAACTGTGGCTAAGTGAACAAACTAACAATTGTGATCAATTTTTTGTTCTTATCCTATATCGTAGCATTGCACATTTAGCTATTTAAACAGGTAAAACAACTATCAGAATAAAAAAATTGAAACGTAGGGGCTGGGGGCAAGTGGAAAATAGCCCAGGCTAAAACCTTCAGCTTTTCCTACACCCTCTTTTATAAGCATTAAATGAAGGAGGCTTTTTACAAGGTTAATTCAAAGACCAAACAAGACTGCTCGTATCAGGGCGAAGCCCTGAATGTTCCGACTGCCTTTTAAGGTCTATGGAGCAGTATTAACATGAAAAGTTTAAATGTAATAGAATAAAATTTAAAAAAAAATTGAGATTTTTGCGAAAAGATCCCCCACACGTCATATTAAGTACAAAGTGATCGATTTTGCTTCTATTAACAAATCAATAATGGCATATAAGCTTCCTTCGATTACGCGTTAATGGCGCGAAATATATCGCGCTTTAATTGTCCCAAATTGGCCAAATTGGCAATCTTTAAACCCCCATAACTTTACGAAAAATGATCACAGGTGAAATATCTTTTCAAGTTTAGGCTCAGGACAACAATAGCTTTCGAATGATTTAAAAAATATTCGTCAAAAATGGCTAGTTAAAAAGTCGAAAGTTTTCTGAAGAAAAAAAACCCACCGAGCACAAATATTCCGTTACTTTCGTTACGAAAGCAGGAACAATAATATTATCACGGAATGATTAGTCGTGGCCAATTTCATAATAATCGGATAAATTAGCTTGCAATAGTTTGCAGGCTGGGGAGTGAAAAAGAGCCAAAACGTTTATTAACTACGAAGACCAAATAAGTTTGTCACAGAAGAATTGTCTAGACAATTTTCACAACAAATGGTAAAAGTTTGCAGGCTGGAGAGGGAAAAAAGTCAAACCTTTAATAAAAACTAAGATCAAATAAGTCGGGAATAATTAGTCGTGGACATTTTCATGATAATTGGATAAAACTGGAAAATTCTAAGATAGAATCATGTGTTGTTTCTTGAAATGAAATGCAGCAGTGTAATGTTTTTTAATATATTTTTTCAAGATTTCAAAAATTTGAAATCATTTGTTTGCTTCCCAAACTTGATAAAACTTGTGCATTCAATTGTTGATATATTTTTTTAACTTGTTATCAAAAGTAAAACTAAAATTTTTTCTTAATGATTGGTAAAGTGTGGTAAACACTACATCCAGAAAAGCCGACAATCTAAAATGCAGAAAAAAATTAAGTTATCTCAGTTTGCTGTGAATTCTATTGTTTCTAAATGGCTGCCTCACTTTATGTAGCCAAAAAACAGTTGAAATATCAAACCTGTTAATTTCATCAAAAGCCGGCCCCTAGAAAGAATTTTTGATGCTTCATTTTTTGTGACTTTTTACGTTGCTCAAGCTAAAGCACTGCTGCTAAGTTAGTCATTAGGTATACTTTTTTCTGATACAATTTTTTCTGAAAAATTCTGTTTCAGCAAAAATTAGTAGCTAATTTGCGCAAAAAGAGTTTCAAGATTCAGATTCAATTTTACAGGAATTGAACAAAACATTTTTTTTGGAGCATAGAAATGTTTTTTGACTAGAAAAGAGAAAAATAAGTCTTACTTGTACTGATTTTCTGGAGTTTTTACGCAATAACGTTTTTGTAGCCATGTAAGCCAAATTCATTATAAGTGAAACAAAGCTGATAAATTATTTTTATACGGAAATTGAATTAGAAGCATTCCTTTCATAAATTCTAACAATGTCTTCGTATGACAAGCAATTGTTTCTAAATGAATTGTATGAAGAGCATTTTTCGCGTATTGAGGTCAACCCGGGAAATGGAACTCTCCAAGAATCAAAAATAACCAAAAAAATTATCTGAGATTTAATTTAACTCTGTTGTTTTCACTTCTATTTACTGTATGGTTTATCGTTATAATTGCAGACACAAAAACTACAGTCTTCTTGGTTTTTTGTTCAGTTGTGGAGTCAAGTTTTCTTATAAAAATACAAACAAGACTGCGAAGCCCTGAATGTTCTGACTGCTTTTTAAGGTCTGTGGAGCAGTAATCACAACAAAAAATTAAATGTAATATAAAAAAAAATTTTTTTTTATAATGTAATATAAAAAAAACAACTTTTTTTATTTTGAGATTTTTTGTGAAAACCATTACCCGACACGCGATATAAAGTAGAAAGTGATCGAGTTTGCTCAAAGTAACAACTCAATTATTGCAAATACGCTTCCTTCCACCAATTTGGAACGATTTCTAAGACGGATCTAATCTCCGCTTACGCGTTAATAGCGCAACATATATGGCGCGTTGGTTGTCCAAAACTGACCAAAATGGCAATATTTAAACCCCCATAACTTTACAAAAAATGATCACAGGCGAAGTATCTTTTTAAGCTTAAGCTCAGGACTCAATATTTTTGGAATTATATAAAAAACTCCATCAAAAAAAACTGGTTAAAAAGTCGAAGTTTTTCTGAGAAAAAAAAACACCAGAGCACAAATATCCCGTTATTTTTGTTACGAAATCAGAACAAAAACTAAAAACTATTTTTTGATTTACGCTCTCTCTGTGTTTGCCTGATTGATATTGATTACTTATTGAATGTTTGATAACTGGTCTATAATGTATACTGTCAACTTTTTGTCAGTTTTTCAATTTCGTTCGATATCATTGCTGAAACGTAAAAAATATTTAATTTCGATCAATTACGCAAAGTTTTTGTGCATCTTTTTTTAGATACACAATAAGAAACAAACTGGAACCTAAACCGATATTATTAACAGTTTTTGTATGAGACCTCTATTTTTTCACTTGATTGGTAATTTTATTGTTCATCCAGGTTCGTATTTAGACATCAATGACCCATGCTGATATATCCTCCAATTTTCCTTCGCATTTATGAAGGTAAAAACAATAGAGAAAACATTGGACGAAATGAAAAACTTGGAAAAAATATTATCTTTTTCCAGAGCACGCTGATTGTATATGATAAGCTCATGAATGATAAGTCATGAATACACAATCATACCACAATAACTTTGTTAATGGTCAGGATTTTAATGTTTGATTGCTAGATTTACTTAAGGTATATCTCAGTGATCAGCCAAAATAAAGTCTGAGCTTTTAAACACTCCGAACCATTCTTGGGCCGTCAAAATTTGACCATTGTACACAATACGTTTGATGCTTTGTTTTCACACGAGCCTCTATTATTTGCCATCCGCGTTTGAAGTTCAAATATGAAGATTCAACAATGAAGCATATGCTTATTAGTAAACACGGCATTTTTCCGCCACTTCAAACCAGGTTAAATTGATTTTGTCCGCCGATGTTTTAAGTAATTTAGCTACCACCCAGTTTTTATCAAGTTATGAACTGCATTTCATAGTTCAATACGGTAAGATTTTAAGTTCATAGTTAAATACGGAATGAATTTGAGTTCATATTTTTGCGTACGGTTCGACTTTGAGTTCAAATGAGGATTCAAATCTAATATCTATACTGAAGTCGCCTTCGTTAAGATCTGCCCACGAAAATATCAGCCGATTTAATTACTTAACAAAACATTGGGGTCATCAAAGTAAAAAAAAAATTGTCCTTGTGTTTTCCAAAGCCAGATTCTACAGAGATTGCGAAGATCGATCTTTATTGAAAAACGATTTCATTGATTGTCATTACCTGTTATTTCCGAATCTTTGGCGGAGACTGTTTCAAAAAACACAGATCGAGGTCGTGGTTTTATGCTCAGACCTTCATAATACTAAATACCGCCAGATTGGCACCAAAAAATAGTCCACTACTAATCTTGTGTCCACTAATCACAAAAAAGTAACTAATCACAAAAAAATGCAACTAATCACAAAAAAGTCCAAAGACAGTCCAAGAAAGTCCTAAAAACTTCAATACATTGAAGTGCTGCCCAAAATGTTCAATACATGTCTTCAATAAGGTCTGAACAAAAAAAACTACGACTTCGACCCCAGTGGTTTACTAGTGTGAGAAGTTGCAATAAGTATGGCGAGTGTGGCGTACAATGGGAGCATGTACAGTTTGATCTCGGGGGAGGAGGATGATGGGATGTTGGGGGAGGGGTGCGTGGAACCAGACATGAGTGCAGAAGAGGTAGTGAGACTGTTGCTCAGCCCAGTTGACTACGAGAACGAATACGAACACCACAGGTAAACGTTTGTCATAATTCTGACAAAGTTTGTTAGTCACAAAATATTTTTATGGGAAGTTTGATTATTTTTTCCCGAAAATCAGTAGATATAATTCAAAACACAGTCCGAGCATACAAGGTTTTAAATAGCGTAGTGGTCAAAACCTTAGCTGAACAAAACTGCTTGTATACGTTCAGGGGCGGATTTAGGGGGGGGGGGCGGTGGGGCGGACGCCCCCCTCCCCCCTCAGGGATTCGAACCCCTGCCAACCCAAAGGGTCCCCCCTTTGGTACTTTTTAAGAAATCCATTTTTGGCCGACCGACCCTAAAATTTTTCTAAAGGCGCCTTTGGCGCCAGTATATACTAATTTTGAGGGGGAGCGCGCGCCAAAAAAATACGTTTTTCTTGTCAAAATTTTCCAAAAAGTGCCCAAAAACGGCTTTTTTGACCTGTTTTTTCAAAAAATTGCCTGCGGCGCAGAAAGTTTGGCCAAAACAGGGTCGTCTTTTTACTGCTTTGGGAGAGCTCGGAACGTCAATCTGATCGACCTAAAAAAAAAAAAAGGTCGTCAAAATTTTCGAAACTTTTTTGAAAATTCGCCCCCCCCCCCCTCGAGAAAATCCTAGATCCGCCCCTGTATACGTTAATGAACCCCTCAAGGTTTTGACAGATTTTTGAACTATATAAACTAAATTGCATTAAAAGTTACTAAACTTTTAAATAAATTTTTAAAAACAAGTTATTGATTTTTATAAAAATTGAGCGCATACCCACCTCACTCTAGCAAGCAAATAACCATATCAATTCGAAGCTTCGACTAAAAATAATTGAAAGGTTAAATAAACAAAACTGCTCGTATACGTATACGAATATCGAAAGGTTTTGATAGACCTTCGAATTATATTAGTTAGTTTTTACATTATAAGTTACCAACTTTTCCGAGAAATTTATCAACCCTCATGTTCACTGTCAAAAACAAATTATTTTGTTTTGGGTTTTTGGCTTCTATTTATATTAATTTATTTGGGTTTTTGGCTTCTATTTTTGGCTTCTATTTATATTAATTTATTTTGTTTTGGGTTTTGGGAAAAACTTGACACTTTTTAATGATAATTGAAACTTTTTTTGTTCGAAAACTTTCAATTGATTCAATCAGACACCTTCTGCAAGGATTCGATCCCCTGCCATCCCAAAAGGCACTATCCCTTTTTGGTTCAATGACCGTAAAATTTTTCTAAAGGCGCCTTTAGGGGGGAGCCTGTTTTTTCAAAAATTTGTCTGCGGTCAAAATGGGGTCTTCGTAGTGATTTGGGAGAGCTCAGAAAATCATCTGGGTCCACAAAAATTACAATCAAAAGCTATCCGAGCTTCCATATTTCATACTCCGAGCAAGAACAACTGTAAATACATCAAATCATGAGAAATTACTTGTATTTTTTCTCGTAGTTACAATGGTATTGCTTCTGTTTTTTGACGCGAAGTGTAAGCCGGACTTTTCGCTAACTTACTGAGACAATATACAAGTTCAGCTTTGGATTGCCAAAACAAGGAAGCCATGAAAACCATTTTAACTGAAAACGATAGTCATAAAATTGTTTTTGGTCTACAAAATTTCTCCTCCTCGTTCCTCTCAGGAGTTTGCACTACCAAATACCAAAACCTCCACCTTTAATTTTTTCATTATTTTTTTTAAAAGGGGACTTCGTCGTCAATTTTTTTTGTCCTTGACATCGAGTAATATTGTACAATGAAAAATTGCAAAAATGCGTCTTATTCCGAGGCTTAATAGATGCTAGTCCACATGCCTCATTCAGCAGTATACACCCCGTCTGAAAATCTTTTGATGCGGTTACCATGATGCGTTCAGTGATCTTAGGTTATAAAGCATCTCATTGGAGAGACTGAAGTTACCAAAGTAGCACATCAGGGCCTTTCTCTAGAACTGCCTCAGTTAATGGATCTTATTTTGAGCTCGCGCCAGTTTTTCAACAATGGCACAATGGAGAAGACGGTAATGATTACAAAAATTTTTGACTGATGTTGCAAAGCTGGGTGATAGCCAGATTGAGGCCCGCAGAGGAAGACCCCCCATAGCATCATCTTTTATATGCCTTTTTTATTTTGTTCCGTGAACTCAAAAAATGTTTTTTTGGGTTGCTTCTTCATGTGCTCAAATTGTAAGCTGCTGCCCCATTGGATAACTGAAAAGGATGCAAAGAAGACATTTTTTAGTGTTCCCACGATCTGATCGAGTCATACAAAAAAGTGCTTCCAAATGGCGACTTCTCCAGCCAGTTCAAAGTTTCTAAAAATATCAGGAGCTTTCCCCTGCACGACTCACTAGAAAATTTGACAGCTTCTCTGAAAGTGAGCTACGTAGTCGCCATGCCAGTAGTTTTCAGTTTGCTTCAGATTGGTGCTTCCTTTTCCGTTGCGGTATGCACAAGTGAGTGCTCGTCTCCAAGCATGAAACTACAAAAAGACTTCCTTCACTCCAACATGATATAGCATTGAAGTTTGAATTTGGCGCTCACTGAGCTCCACGAAAATGTCAAAATCAAAGTCGAGGGTGTACTTGACAAAATTGTTGCCAAAATCAAAACTCAAGTTTTTTTTCTTTGTTATTTTTTTGTTGTAACAATTGAGTTTATTTCCATCAATACCCCTATAAAAATTCTAGATTCATCTCCATTAAAAAGTTAAAATGACTATCAATGATAATAAGCCAAAACCACTTCACGATTGGTTGTTTTGCTTGATTTTGAGATAAAAATACAAACCATCTCAAGAAGTGAAACGAGAGTGGACTGTGGTGAGCTATAACTGCAGAATAATTCAGCAACGATAGTTCTGCTAAAATAAAAAAAACTAAATTAGAGATCTACAATAACCCCAAATTGAGCTTATTTAATAGAGTTGTTGGTAATAAATCAAAAGTTTTGTGTCTAGGATGTATAACTCAATTTTGCCGGCGAGTCAAAACCATAGTTAAAAGGATATTTCAATTCGTTCTTTATAAAATTTTTGCAACAAAAAGTTGGAATTTATTCCTTGCAATTTAACTTTAGTGGGGTTTGGTATGCTGGAATGAATTTGAACGTATTTTAAATACTCCCTTCGCTGGACACTGATGTTTTTTTTTCGAAAACCACCCACACAGGCACACACCGACAGTTTTTTTTTCAGAAAAACCGTGGTTATTCAAAGTTACAATATTTTTGGCACTGTAATTGTTGGAATTCATAATGACTTAATTGAAATATGTTAACTTACAACAAAAAGTTTGGTCGGAAAAAAAGTTTAATAACTACCTCCTTATTATGTGCAAAAAAAAAGAAAAATTGTAAAATTTGACTTTATGAAAACAGTATAATCTTACACAATGACTCGGTATTTACTGGCAAATATGGCCATTGAAAATCCTATATTTTAAATCTAGATGCCACTATTTTTGGTTGCTTTAAAAGTTTTTTTGCTATGCTAAAAGCCAAAATATTTCATGTACTTCTTTGCATGAGATGAACCTAGCAAATAATTGATGTTTTTTTTATGCGACTCACTTTGATTACATAAACTCCCGAGTGAGTTGTAGTATTATATAAAAATCCTTCATGATACATTTTTTAAATATTGGTCCCAATATTTTCGGTTTTCAGACGAATTTACTCTATTTGATCTCAAACTTGAGCACTACAAGTCTGTGGATATTTTATTTATCTTTATTTATTACTCATGTATGCCTTTTTAATTTAATTTATTTGTTTTTCCAATGAAAAAATTATTAAGAAAGTGCTAGAAAAAAGCTCGAAAAAAATAGTTTACCTTTTTTTGTCAAATTTAAATTTTACGTTTCCGGGTTTTTAGGAAAGTGGTTTCTCGAAATGTTTTCTATGAAACCAGCTATTCTTGTTTGATTTGGATCCAGATATAACCTTTTGAGTGACCTGCTGAATGGGCTGCAGCCTGATGATGTGGTGTCAGAGGAGTGGGTGATGCAGTTCGTGGACAACGAGGGCATCCAGATACTCCTCGCTAAACTACTCGAGATCTCTAAGGTACACTTACGAACTTAAACTAGATTGTCTACTTTGAAACAATAACTGACAGGTTTGTGTTGGAAAAATGAGACACTGATTTCGCTCAAAATCCCACGTGACTTCCAAATTTATATTTGAAGTCCAAACTTGAGCTTTTTAAGAAGTTTTTTTGAAAAATTGTGCTCGTTTTTTGAATAATTAATCTCTCAGGCATAATTCATTCTCTAAGCATTATTAAGTATAACCGGCAGTGTCACTATAGCTTCGCCGCGCTTCGTCGCTTAATTATTTTGGTTAAATCGATTTCGAAAAAAAACGCTTAGTTTTTGTGTACCAATATGAAGTGATTTTTGTAAAATGTTCAGAAAATTTTTTTTCAGCGTTACGACAAAGAGGACATGACAATCTTCGCAACTCTGGTGCCGCTCTCTTCCGTCCTGCGCTCCCTCATTGGCTACCAGGCATTCCTCCAGTTCTTCATCGCCAGGGCCTCAGACCCAGAGGTCATAGGAGTGACCGCCAAGGTACATTAAAGTGAAGACGGGGAAAACATAATAGAAGCTATTTAAGGTTAATAAGCTGAGAGGACCAGTAAACTCAAAGCTAATTAATTATCAGAGTCTCAGATTAAGGTTAAAATCTTTTAATTACAAGGGGAAAAATCAGCATGTTGGGGTCTTCACAGAGAACCGCTGTTGTGCCTCTACTCACCCACAAGCAACGAGCGCGGAACATAATCAAAAATAAAAAGGCTGCCGAGGGCAATGCAAAAAGCGCCGGAAACTGCAAACACAGTCACTTTTGCAAAAAAAAAACAAAAAAAGTTACTGTTAGTGCTTTTTAATTTCAGAGGGCGGGCAAGATATGAAATTTTATTGGACAGGAGATCAGAACGTTGAAAAAACAAATGCAGAAGTATTCAAATGTATGAACGAATAATTGACATCGACTAATGGCATTGTTATAATTTTTAACTGATTTTTAACGCGAAGGTGATGATGTCCAATTCACTCATGTGCAGAAGGGAGGTTGTACATCTGCTCACCAACATGATGATAGAAGAGTCCTCTTCAGTACAATTCGTCACCAAGGTCAGCTGTCGTTCACACATCTCAAGGAACAGATGAAAGTTTGATTTATGTTGTTATTGAGCAATGACAAATGCTAATTTTCACTGCTGACAAACCATGAGTACAATGCTGATTTTTCCGACTTTCGTAACGAAAGTAACGGAATATTTGTGCTCGGGGTGTGCTTTTTTCTTCAGACAAACTTTGACCTTTTAACTAGCCATTTATGACGGAATTTTTTTAAAAAATGATTCAAAAGGTATGATTCTCCTGAGCTTGAATTTGAAAAAATATTTCACCTGTGATCATTTTTTTTGTGACTTTCGAAGAAAACGGAAGATTTATGCTGGGCGTGGTTTTTTTTTCTATTCAGTCAATTTTCACCGATCGAAACAATAGTTTTCAAGAAAAATGTTTAATACCCCATTGAAGCTATCGACTTCTTGATTTCAAATGTAAAAAGATATTTCACCTCCGATAATTTTTTGTAAAGTTCTGGGGGTTTGAAAATTGCCATATTTGCCATATTCTGGGCTAAATTATGTGCGCTTCTTTTTATCCCGCAGAACAAAATCGTTCCAAAATGAATTGAGGGTAGCTAATTGGTCGTATTAGTTTCGTACGACTCAAAACTTTACACTTTGATGTTTGATATGCTTTATGTGTGGGGGGTTAATTTCATTAAAAAAATTTCAAATTTTAGAATTTTTTTTCATTGGATTTCATTACATTTAATTTTTTTATGTTACTACTACTGTTTGATAAACCTTAAAGGGCAGTCGGAATATTCAGGGCTTCGCCCTGTTACGAGCAGTCTTGTTATTATTTACCTTTGAGTTTTTTCATGTGATTACTGCTACACAGACCTTAAAAGCCAGTCGGAACATACAGGGCTTCGCCCTGATACGAGCAGTCTTGTTTATATTATCCGGACAAAATGAACAAAACTTGATATTTCAATCACGTTTTTCTCAGAGTTGAATAGTAAACCTGGTTAGATGTAGGACTTGAAATGGGGGTAGAAGATAGCCGAACAAAAAGATTTTTTTTTCAGGCGAAATTTTTTTTTTCATGGCCCTTCTGAAGCTCTAAAAGTGATTTGTCGGAAAAAAGGACCGTTTGGATGGTGATAGGGGATCCATCGAATTCCTGAGGACGGTTCCATTTTCTCCCCTGGCTGATAAAGTGTCATATACCTGAGTTTTTGACGGGTCGAATAACTTTTGCAACGCTTGACCCGGATCGATCTCCCAAAAAAAAATGCTCATCATATTCATGGATTCTATAGAAAAATGTTTATAAGACAGTTTTCATACCGTTTTTTCAATAGAATTGCATGGAATTCCATGACAAGTTTTTTCCATACTGTGACAAGCATTTTTTGTTAATCCACGGTGGGCTAATTTTTCGAACAAATCAACTAACTAACATTTGATTTGGCTTTTTTGCAGTCCCCCCTTTAAACTTTTTTAAAATTCAATATGTGAAAGTCTTTTTGAAAAGACTTTTCATGTTATAAAGATGCATTAAATAAAATTAGCGTGAACAAAAAAAACAATTTTTGAACAGGTTTATGTTGTAATTTAACGAGGGGGGTGGGAAACTGGAAAAGAAGCCTTGTTTTTCCTGCAGGTGTACAGTCTAATCAACCGGACCTCTCTGAACACGTTTCCCTTCCAGCCCCTAGTGGAGGACTTCGGTCTTCATATGGGAGACATAGAGTATCTGGCAGAACTGCTCGCATTCATCAATGCATTTATACTCTGCGAAGGCCACTACGAAGGCACATACCATTTTCTGTTACAAATGAATCGTAACTGAATCAAATTTAAAATGATGTTTTAAATCGAATTTAGAATCAAATTTAAAATAAGTTTTCTGACTGAATCAAATTTAAAAGCTAAGATAGTTAAATTTCACTTTATTCTGAAAATACTGTAGAGAAAATAAATTTCACCTGAAGGGTTTGATTTACAACACAAGGCGGAGTTTTCTAAAAGACCGAATTTAATTTTCATTTGGCTCCATATTTTGAATAATTATCTTGTATATCAATGTTGACCAGTAATTCTCTCAAATTTTCAATAATTTTAGAGGATTTGAAAAGAAAATAAAACTTCGAAAACTGTTATTTGATTACCAAATAATTCTTTGTTAAGTTTGTCAAAACTATGATATTTGCGATCTGTGTAACGGAAAAGTTTCCACAAGGGAGGATGAAGCAGCGGGAGGCGTTTATCAAGGCGGGGCTGATCGACATCTTCGAAAGTGACGATTTCCAAGCAGGTATGAAATTGATATCATCATTATCATCATCATCAGTGTTTTTTTATTTTATGCACCTCTTTTTGCACTTAGGTTGTTCCATTTGATCAATTTCTTCGGCCCTAAACTGAGCCTGGCTGGTAGTTGATATCTTCAACCATAATCCGGGTGTGTTATTTCAATATTTGACCTTAAGCTGGGTTTAGCGGATGAAAGTTACTGTTCTGGAAAAACTGACGTGTTAATCAGATCGTAAGTCTTCGGCTTTGATCTAGGCCCGGTGTTTCATGGTGTTAGTTTCACTCTTGTTATTTGCAGTCTGATTAAAAGCTTTTAAACTATTCAAAATCTTGATCCTTAGTTGGACCTGGTTACACTCAAAAAATACAAAATTTTGATCAAATCTCTGGAAAGCCGTTTTAAAATCAGCCGCTAGCTCCCCTATTTGAGACGGGTTAAGGTGGAGTCCATCCTCAGTCATGTTTGTACTGAAACGTCGATGGCTGAAGTATGTCACTTTTAGCTCGTTGGCGATATCCTTGTAGCACTCATTGACTGCTAATCCTTGTGTATTTTCCTCTTCTACTGATAAGTTCCATGATTCCAACATTGAATCCATTGAATTTTGAGGCTCTGATTAAATAATACATTCCATCAGAAACCACTACGGGGCTCATCAACGGTTTTGACGATTTGTCGAACAGGTTGTTCGTGCCTCCCATAACAACTACGTTTTGAATGTTCCTGAACTTCTTCATTTCCTGCATAAAATTTTTGGTGCACAGGGTGGCAATGGTGCCACCCGGGCACGGGATAGTGATAGTATTGCGCAAAAAAAAACATTAACAAGCGAGTAGCCAAGAACACAATTAGGCCATCTCTTGAATCTTGAGAGCTTGATAATTTTAGGGTGTGGCCTTTGCTTTTTTGAAACGATACGTTTTTGTTTGCGTAGCATAGATATTATTGTTTCGATTCTTCCGGCTTCTCTGATTTGCATTCTAATCAGTTCTGAAAACTATTCTAGGTGTTAAGCGGCTCAGAAAAAATGAGTTATAGGCTTCTGTCTAAATAACGTTTTATCTCGCATCTCAGGAAGCTGAACGGGCAGGTTATTCCACCGACGCGGTCGGCTTACTGAAAAAACTCTATTTCCGAAGGCTATTTTGTATTTCCTGACATTAACTTTGCAGTTATTGAGTTTTCGTACTGTCTCCTGATTGTTTGAGACTATAAGATTTTTCAAATTGCCCGGAATTAGTAAGCCGTAAACAATTTTATAAACAAATCATACTAATTTGAAGGTGATTTTTTCTATAACGGGCAGACATTCAAATTTGGATAAATTGAAGAGGAATCTACATGCTACATTTTGAACACGCTATAATTCGACTACATTGAATTTAGTGGTGCCATTCAAAATGACTTTACAGTAGTGATGTCGGCTTAAGATTGAGCTTTTGACCAGGAGTATTCGGCTTTAGAGGTTTAGGTATAGTTTAACTCTGTGTGTTGTCTTAATTGGAAGTAGCAGGCTCTGCATTTTGAATTAATTTGTGCGTCGAAAACTTTAGAAACTATATTTTGAATTCTTTCTGTAATTTTTTCGGAGCACGACAGTTTTTCAAAGCTTATATATAATAATGTGTCATCCTCGTATAGCTGATACTCGAGGTTCAAAGATTTTAGGAAGTCTTCTATGAGCGTTATGTACCTTATGAAAATAATCAGACATAAAATCGATCCCTGTGGAACCCCTACATTTGAATTTTTTCCTCTGACCAACAAGTATCCACTTTGACCTTTTGGTTACGATATTTTAAATATAATAATATCCATTTAAGGCAAACTCCTTTGATGTTAAAGCGGTTTTGAAGTAGATTGTCGAGAATGTTGTGGTCTATTGTGTCGAAAGCTGCTGTCACTACATAATCACTACCTTATTTTCATCTAATGCTACCAGAAAATTTGATGGTAGCATTAGAACGGGATTACTTAGATTGGAAAATCTAAGTAATCCCGTTTCGGTGGAATGGTTTTTTCGAGAGGCTGATTAGTTTTCATCAATTAAAGTTTCTGAACTGAGATGTAGTTTTATTTGATTCGCAGCCACTTTCTCAAGTAATTTCGATTAAATTGGCTGTAGGTTGGTAGTTTTTTAGCAACTCTGTATCCAAAAATGGTTTTTTCCGTTGGGGCACAACCAAAGTGTCCTTATATATTACGGGAAAGACTCCAGTTTCAAAGCTAGTATTGATCAGCTTGACCATAAAATGCTTCCAAGAATGCAATATTGCTTTAAAGAACTTACTTGGCTCACAATCCAGGTCACAAGTGCTGTTTGAAATCGAGCTTGTTGCATTATCAAAATCAGGTTCATCTATCATTTCGAAATGTTGCATTTGTTTTGCTGGTAGATTCTTTCGAAAGTTTAGAATGATTTCTGATTTTCAACTTTTTTCTTGAATATCTAATATTTTGGAGTCAAAATACTCACTCATTACATTGGATACTTCACCCATTGAGCCAAGACGATGAAAAAAAAACGTTTGGAGTCTTGTACCCCATGGGTTGTTTCAGTTTTTTGAACTTACTTTTCAGGTCGGAGCTGAAATTAATTTTTTTTATCGAAAAAAAATTGTCTTCATTTGTATAAAAATCACTTTGCACTCGGCTACTGCATTTCGAAACGCATTTCTATTGGTGGTATTGATTTCTTCCGATATTTTTCTTCTAGCTGTCTCTTTTTCTGTTTTAGAAAACGCATTTCGTTGTAAAAAAAAATGGGCATTTTTTTGTTTGTGACTGCGCTTTTTTACTGGAACAATTTCACTTCCTAAAAAGCGAGTGTTTCCATTGAAAACTCTTCCACTAAGTTTGGGCGTTTAGATGGAAGTTAAGATTAAGGTTTAGTTGTAACGGAGTGGAAAATTTGTTCAAATCAACGTTCGACCAAATTTTTTTTTACATTTTGTTTCTTTCCAGGTATTTAACTCTGTTTGCTTATAAAGAAGTGTATGGCTTTATGATCCAAAAAAAGAAATTCATGTCTCAAAACCTGACTGATCAAGCTGACATTATTATGTATTAATAGATCTAACACAATTCCAGATATTTGTGATTAGGTTCATTGTTCAATTGTTGTAAATTTAGATGATGCAAGACATTTTTAAGAGTAGCCTTACGAGGTAGGCTAAGATCACCCAGCAAAGACATCTCACTTCTCAGAGTGCTTCGTAGGACTCCGTTTTCTAGGAAGCTCCAAAAGCTTTTTGATCCACTGCTTGGGGGTCTATAAACTAGCCAGATATGTACTAGCTCTTTAGCTTTCCTTTCGAAACATGCCGCTTCAAGATTCTGAGAGCACTGGTGGCTCAAAAGATTCAAACAGAGCAAACCGCCATCTCGACCATGAGTCCGCAATAGATTGAAGAGTTTATAATTTGTTGACGAAGAGTAGTTTTGTCTTATTAGGTGTTTTTCGTCTACTTCTGAGGATAACAACGACTCATTGACAAAGAAAAATTGGTATCCTCTAAACGCAAGAATGTTCGATAGTCTTTCAGTTTTGTTACGTAATGACTGAGCGTTGACAAGTCTGCATTTGAATGACATCCGATTTAGATAAACCCTTAATTCAATCATTTCCTCTGTTTTTGTCTGATAGTGATTTCAGCCAGTCGAAAGCTTTATTTATTCAAAAAATATCGCCCATGTGCAACCCCCTCTGGTCAAAACTGTCTTCTTCAATTTTCTCAGCGTCGGTTCCATCAAAAACCACATGATGACCTTTCAGAGATCCGTCCATGTTTGATAGTTCTCGCATGTGCTGCACTTCATCCCCATTTTTGGAGCACAACGACCGCATTCCCTCTTCTTTGTATTTGCAAGTCTTCCAATATATAAATTATATTATGTATTTATACATCATTTATGTTTTGATATTATATAGCATTAATGTGTACTGGTCGATTGACCTTGATAGCAAGGACGAGAACGGCGTCTAAAGAGAACTACGGTTCAGAACGAGAATAAACGTTAACATTAACTAGTTGCTTTAACTTCTCTCTCTCAAGCTCGATATTATCTATCCATACGGATTCAAGGATTAGCAGTTCATACCTTGAGGACATAGCGGTATGACATGGCGCAGCCACCAGGATTTTCGAAGAACCCACTCAACATAAACCCATTCTGGGAACGAGCATCGGCCGAACCCCCATTAGAATGGACAAAATGGGCGGCAATACTAGAATTTGCAGTATTCGCGAAGGACGGTATCGAAATTCGAAGTATCTTACGAACAAGACCACAATTAATAGAGCCATCTGAACCAGTATACGAGGTCAAGATAACCGACGACACGTATAATAGCTTTTGAGAGGTATAATTTTATCTGTCTAAAACAAAAGAAAACAGAAAGTTTAGAACAATTTCATGCTGACCTAGTGGAACTAGCTTCACCGGCCAATTGCGGCGACCGAGAAAGTGAATGGGTAAGGGATTTGTTTACCGCCCACATGAACAACGAAAAAAACTGCAGAGGAATTGCTAGCACAAACACGTAGCCCACAGGAGGCATACGAATACGCAATTCGACGTGAAAGTGGAATAAAACACAGTCGTTTAATGAAAATATATCCAATCGGAGGTCCAGCAGTGACCCCAAAACAAGAACCCATACATTATGTTAATATACGCGGCAGACAAAACCAACAGTACAACCAAAACAATCAGCGAGGTCGGGGCGGTTTTCGCGGCCGACCGTATCCACGTGGATCACAAAACACAAAAGTTCAGCAATACCAACAACAACGAAACACAAATTCAAAACAATGGTTTAAGTGTGGAAATCATTATGGTCCAAACCATCTACAATCATGTCCAGCAAAAGACAAAAATTGCTCGAAATATGCGAAACGCGGTTATTTCGCGAAAGTTTGCCGTTCTACAAACGTAAATTACCTAGGAAATACAAATGAAGAACAGCATGAGGAAACAGAAAAAGAGAGCACGGAGAC